CAGTTCGATCCCCAGCCACGGCCGAGGGTCCCCCCCCACCCCACACACACACACCACAAAAAAAAAAAAACAACCAATGGGCCTCCCTGGTGGCCTAGGGGTTGAATCTCAGCACTACGTAAAGGCCCTTGGCAGAAAAGCAGCCTGAGTTCCATCCCTAGCCAGGGAGCCGACCCACATGGCACAGCGGACCTGGTGGCACAAGGGGTTAAGCACCACACTATGAAGCAATCTACAGCCTCTGCGGCATGAGTTCGATCCCCAGCCGGCCAGGGAGCAATCCACATGGCGCAGCAGACCTCTCCTGACTCACCCGCTGCTCCCCTCCGCAGTGTATTTCAGTGTATCTGCCCACTCTGCTCCCCACTCTGTCTCTGGTGAATCTGCTCACCCTCCACACCTCTGGCCTACGCCCCCATTCTTCTATACAAAATAAAAAATCTCACAATAAAGGAATAATTCTTTGTAAAACAAAACCATCCCAAAAATTCATTTGCCATTAAACAAATGAATTGACCAAGAGGTTTCAAATATGGAAAATGGTTTTAAGTTCTTGCCCTGTCTTTATTCAAAGTTAAGAGAAACAAAGTGATATACATACCCTAAGGCCTGACATGGCCCCTTCAGGTCCTTTTTAATTTAAATTGTAGAGCCAGCACATCATTACATCACCCCATTATTTCCTGCACCTCTCAAACTGAGCTGAGTAAGATTATGTGGTTTAAATTTGCCTTACCTCAATTCCATGCTACTACTACTCTATTTAATAAACAAGCAAACAAAAAACCTCCCCTATGCCATGCTCACCTAAAGGTGAATTTACCCTTTTACAAAAATAATTGCTAAAGTTATTAACACAAAAGGGTATGCCCTTAATATTCCAAAAATCGATAACCTGTGGCAAAGTTAGCTATACAATATGCCTTAAAAATATAAATTGCAAAAAACACAAATATCCCATGAGAATTCTCAGACTTCAAATGGATTTACAAAGGCCCCAAGGGTGTAAGGAAATCCTAACTATCTCATACATAATCACATGTCCCCACTTAGAAATAACACTCCACATTCCAAACAGCAGATTAAATTCCAACCTGTTTAAATACTCTAATTATGTTTCACTCTGTGCAACACTTTTCATTAGCTTATCACTATACAGATCCAAGTCTCACTGTAAGAGGTGGTCTTTTTTGGAACACCCAGGACTAACCCTCAGAACACCGAGTTAGTGTCAGAAAGTTGAAGCAATGAGTAAGATGGTTCCTTTGGTTCTTAAAGTTTTGGAGAATCATTAGATAAGAATAGTTTTTCCTTAAAGATTTGTCAATTGGGCCTTCCAGGAGGCGCAAGGGGTTAAGCAGCAGCACTGTGAAGCTGTCCACAGCCTCTGCAACAGCATAAGCTCGATCCCCGGCCGGCCAGGGAGCTACCCACATGGCGCAGCAGACCTCTCCTGACTTGCCCGCTGCTCCCTTCAGCAGTGTATTTCAGTAGATCTGCCTGTTCTGCTCCCTACTCTGTCTCTGGTGAATCCTCTCACCCCCTGCATCTCTGGCCTGTACCCCAGCTCTTGTATGCATAAATAAATCTTAAAAAAAATTGTCAATTTAGTATTTAGCATTTAGTAAGTACCTATGACATTAAGATTGTACTGTTTAAAATGAATAGGAAGTTCTCGTAATGGCCTCCAGTTTCTCATTTACATTAAGTGCAAAACTCACATCCTGTGGCAGAACCCTTACTTCGCACTGAAAATAGTAACTTACGTTTAGAGTCCAGTATGCAAGTGACAATGTGCCAGGCAACTGAAACATACTATCTCAGTCTTCTCCACAAGGTACTTAACTCTGTAATTTGTTTTGTTTCTTCTACTTAACTCTAAGTTATGAGGATTCCAAAATTGCTTCTCAATTCCATAGTACTTTGAAAATACGTTTCTGGAGAACACAGGCACTGGTAATTTTTAAAAGCTTGCCAGGGAATTCTAATATAAAGCCGTGATCCAGATTCAGTTAGTCATTATTTAAAAGTGGTAGCGTCATTAACTCAAAAATAACATTCACTGGCACAGCTGGCCCTCTCCAATAACCACAGTCCTCAGAAAGACCATGGAAGTTTTTCCCAGGAGCCTTTTCTCCAATCCTGGGCCTTCATTGTCTACTGACCCCGTGGTGTCACAATCTCCCATATCATTACACACTTTGACCCAAGTCTCCAATTCTCCTCCAACTGTTTACTTTCCCATCTTCCATTCAATTTATCATCCCCTTTAGGTAGAATGCAATCTGATCATCAGATTAAAATAATTCCCATGAAAACATGAACAAGAAAAACTATGAGATAAATTAACTTGACACTCCTATTTCTGAAAAGTTGGATATACCTTTTGTTTTGGTCTTAAGCAGTTTGTAATGGATGAGGGGTACTTGAGAATTAAATTTCTCTCATCTTCCTATCCAAAACTTTGTTCACTTAGCTATGATATGAACAAGTTATTAAATCAAGGGTGTCAGAAAATTTAGCTCAACTGTTCAAAAGTTAACCAAAGTGTCAATCTAATGCCCATTATCTGAACCATTCCTGCCCCGCCAAAAAATACTCAGTATTTTCACCAATTCACTTGTTTTCAAAGTGTTTAAAAAGTGCTTCTTTAATTTTTCCACAGAATACGTCTCTTATTGGGCCTCCCTGGTGGCGCAAGGGGTTAAAGCACCGCACTATGAAGCAATCCGCAGCCTCTACCCACCAGAGAGCAACCCACATGGCACAGCAGACCTCTCCTGGCTTGCCTGCTGCTCCCCTCCCCTCAGCAGTGTACTTCGGTCAGTCTGCCTGTTCTGTTCCCCACTTTGTCTCTATTGAGTCCTCTCACCCCCCGCATCTCTGGTCTGTACCCCAGCTCTCACATGCATAAATAAATCAATCTTGAGGAAGAAAAAAGATTATCTGTCTCTTACAACCACTTATGCGAAACAGGGTGAGAGCAACAACCAAAAAAAGTTAACAGAAATAAGGGCCTCACTGGTGGCCTAGGAGTTAAGTCTCAGCGCTATCACTGAGATGGCCCAAGTTTAATCCCGGCCAGAGAATTAATTCATTCTGACCCATATGGCGCAGCAGACATCTGTCTCGCCCACTGCTCCCCCTAGCAGTGTACTTCAGTAAATCTGGCTGTTCTGCTCCCCACTGTCGCTGGTGAATCCTACCTCCTGTACCTCTGGTCTACACCCCAGTTCTTCTACGCATAAATTTTATTTATTTTTATATTTTTTGAAACACTAAGCTTGGTATTGCTTTATTTATTTAATTTATACAAGCACTGGGTACAGTCAGAAGCGCGGGAGGGTGAGAGAATTCACCAGAGCCAGAGCAGGGAGCAGAGCAGGCAAAAGGACCAAAGCACACTGCTGAGGGGAGCAGAGGGGAGCAGCGGGCAGCAGGAGAGGTCTATGCGCCATTGGGATCCTCCTCTGGTGGCCGGGGAGCATCCGGGGATCGAACCGGCGCCGCAGAGGCTGCAGGCAGCTTCACAACCCAGCACTCAACCACTGCGCCACCAGGGAGGCCCCTACACATAAATTTTAAATAGAACAGAAATAAAGTGACTCCTAAGCAGATGCACTGACCCAAGTATCACCAGGCCACAATATAGCATTAACTATGGAAATGCCCTTCCACGCATTTCCCTCTGGCTCTTTTTATTCTACCAAGTTTTTCAACTATGGAAGAATTTAAAGTTTCTCTTTCCCCAACATGGCAAAAGCTCAGATATGATATCAGCAAATTCCTGGTAAGTATATTATCACTAAACAAAAACCCCATTCAAGACCCCCACCCCACCCCCTCATAATTAAGTCCTCTGGCTTGAACTTTAACCCTGACTTGGTGGGCATCACAAATTTCCACTATTAAATAGTACCTAGGACAAGAGAAATATACTTACCTGACCTCTTTTGAGAATTCTTGGGGGTAGACGCCCCATACTGTTTCACAATATAAATTGTAAAGACAGGCTGGTATAGCACTATACATACAGGAAAATAACAGCTGATTCAAGATTAACTTACACATACAGATCCAAAAGTCCACAGGATTCCTGCTGTCTCTGGGGAAGCCCATTCATTAGAGAAATGAATGTAACAAAAAAACCACATTGCAAAAGAGGTAGAGTGAATTAAGTGAATGACAAAGCATGACAGAACAGGAGCACTTGATCCAAACAGGTTATACTGATAGGAGTGGAAATTTGGTTTCCTGAGAATCAGTACTGGAGAATTCACATAACAGGCATCAGGAAATCTAAACTTTTAATTTCACTTTTATAAGCAACTAGCATAGTGACATAAAGCCTCTGGACCTGTTTCATCCCTAAATCAGACTAGATTAAGAACATCGTTGCAGTTTTAATATCCTGTTCATTGGACCTGAATCTATGACCATTCCCCATACATTGGAATTTTAAATGTTTATTCCCCGCATATTTAAGGCTGTAAGAATTGAAATATGTAAATAGTATTTTTATCACTTAATTCCTGTCCTTCCGTATTCTCAAGGAAGGAAGCCTACTTTAGATCTTTAGGCTACTAACGATCTATTTTAGATTAGGGAGTACTTATTTATTCATCAAAGTGAGGGCTAGAATGTTCGAGTGATTTATCAGCAGCCAGCAAAATCAGAACTTTTTTCCTGGCTGCATGTACTATCCCACTATGCCTAGGTAGTGCTTACAGAAAACAGAAACATTACAAAGACTAATACAACACTATGATCCAATTTTTTGGCTAATAAGGCTGCACATTTGGAAATGCCTAAGTTTTTTGAACAAAGAGGCTGAAACATCCAGTTGTTAAACTTTGTTAATCTTTGTTTCGCAGTCTGTCAGAAATTCAAAATAACTCTATTTTCTCCTTGAAATGTTAACTGAGCAGGCCTATTCATGTCATGCTTTCCCCTAAGCTTCCATTTTCTACTTTAATATGCCTCAAAATAAAGAAAACAGCTCATTTTAAACAAGAAGTTTATTTAAACAACAAGACGCTTGACTTGAAGGGAAAACTATCTAGGATTCATTTGTTTTAGAGTAATTTATCCCTACTTAAAGACAGATTGCCCTACATGTAACAGCTACGTACAAAAAAGTTATAAAATTGTCCTTGGTTTTACAATGATAAATGAAAAACATTAAAATTCTCCAATCGAACAAGGTATGCAAGAATTTTTATGTTGTTCTTTTTTTTGTTAAACATTGAGAGCAAAATAACTTACTGGAATATAAAGATAAGAGCTGAATGAGCATGCCACTAATGGAGAAAGGGGGTGTTTTCACAGAACCAATATTTTTTTTTCCCCGTCCCATCTCCATTTGCTGTCAATCAAAACATACCATTGGCCATTTAGTTAAAAAAAAAAAAAATGCAATATGCTTGTGCACATACACCAGTTACTTTATGTACAATAAAGGAATGGGGAAGGGGAAAATGAAAGAATAGAGAAAACTATACTGTAGTAGTCAGGATGTGGTGGAACCAAATTGCGGTTTTCTAATTGAGAATGTCTTCTTGGTCTGGAGGAACAGAGTTCTGGAGTAAAGTAGCAGGTTCCCTTTTTAGTAGACACCTCCTGTCTGCTGTTGGAACACATCAATTGTATCTTCGTCCTCCATTTCCAACTAGCATAATAGAAAAAGTAAATTGAAGACCATTGATTATTAAACTTAACACTTTAAATCATCAAACTTAAATATCCTGGGGGGGAAAAAGGCACAAATTCCAGGGTTCTTTTTTTTCCCACACCCCAGAACCTAATGCAGCATCAGATTTGGGTTTACATAATCTCTTCCATTTGGTATTCCCTTTTATTGAGATTATAAAAAGCTTTGTTTTTTAAGTTAAAAAAACCTGAGTATGTTTTCAAATGATAAGAATTTTTCACATTCATCTAGAGAACTCAGCTCCTCCTTGTGGCTATGTACTATAACTGCTTCTTTCCTTGTGGCTTGTAGTGGAATTGCTTCTTAGAGTCTAGCCAATGGAAATTTCATCAAAAGATTTTCCCCTCAGGAACAACTCAAAGACACTTCAAACTTTTGAAGATCATCAACAAAACCACAAGCTGGATGTGGTGCTTCATTCACACCATATTTATTACTTTCTAGTTTTTAATGGGGTTAAAAAACACACAAGGATTCCAATTTAAATGTTTTCTCCCTGAAAGTATTTTCCCCCAAAATTGGAAGTCTTAAATGAAATTTAAGAGTACACGGAAACAAAGAGCTTCTGCCATAGTGGCCAGCCCAGTCAATCCCTTACAAACTGACAAAATAACTGAAGTGATATGTAAAGAGATTAAGGGATCAGACAGTTTCACTCTGTGAAGGGTTTGGAAAACCACCTATTACCAAGAACCTGCCCTATCAAACCAAGCTACTGGAAGACTTGCAGTTAGAGCCATTAGCTCCCTTCAGTTCCCGAGGATTCAGTATGAAAAGCTCAAATAAAATCGTCACAATCAACAGCCCACCAATCACCTGTGGGGGGAACTCTGCATATGATCAAGAGTTGTAGCAACAAAAAGCAACAGAAAAAACATTCTGAAGAAACGAAAAGTCTTATTTTGTCCAAAAAATGCTGGCAACAGTAAAAAATGGGTTAAAGTAACTACATGACCTATTAGTTCTACTAAATGACAGCTAGATCTTTTATAACCATTGGCATTTCCTGACCCTATCACTATTTTCTTTTTTCTGTTCTCCTTTGGTCATATATTACATACCTTTTTTAAAAAGAGATTTATTTTATTTATGCATATAAGAACTGGGGTATAGACCAGAGGTTGGGGGGGGTGGTGGTGAGACAGAGTGGGGAGCAGAACAGGCAGATCCACTGAAATCCACTGCTGAGGGGAGCAGCGGGGAGACAGGAGAGGTTTGCTGTGCCATGTGGGTCAGCTCCCTGGCCGGGGATCAAACTCAGGCTACAGTGGCTGGTGATAGCGTAATAGCATTGAGACTTAAACCCCTGAGCTACCAGGGAGACCCTATTACATAGTTTGAATTCTGGTAAATAGCTGTATATATATTCTAATACCAAAAGTGCATCAATTCATAAAGCTGTTGAGAGAATTATAAAAAAGGTTTTGGTTTTTCTGGTTAGCACAAAGAGAGTTTTACCTGTGCAGGTGTGTCTGTTTCATTGATTGGTTGCCCGTCAAATCGGAATCTGATCTGCCTCATCGACAAACCCTGGACAAGAATTCAAAAGTAGGAAGTATATTTAAAAAAAAAAAAAAAAAATTAAGAACTCCACCTTAAATAAAACTAAGCACATACTTACGTTAAAAGATATCTTAATAAATGCTCACCAGTAAGTTACTAGGTAAAAGGATTTGGGCTGCTTTTCACTTTCACTAATTTAAACTTCATCAAGTGCTGTATATCAATTGCCCCAGTAAAATTGGGGGAAAAAAAAAAACCCACAAATTTTATAGGTAAAGAAGCTAAGAAAAAAAGTACGTTGAACTTTCTTTAGAAAATGTTTTATAAAGTCTTCTTTGAAAAGTTACTCCAAGATTGAACAGATCATACCTGAGGGTCTACCACTGCATTTAAAATAAGATATTGAAAGGAAAATCAAGACACACACAGAGCAGCACTCCTTGATACACAGAAGAGTTCTCCAAAAGAAAAACACCCTTAATAACAATGTAAACAAGTCACCTAAAAGAAGTAAAACTGCCTGAAAAACTAACTGCCTTACCTCTTTTTCTATCATCATGCAAAAGTAACATATGTCCCACCCAGCGCAAAGCAAACCACAGGTATTCAACAAGTTCTTATCCTTGGGCAGTCAGGATATTCCCAACAGAACACAAGGAATTAACTGTCCTGAAACCCTAAGACCATAATCCATACTCATGAAATTCCTGGAATAGCTCCAAAGAAGCACCTGGCTTTTAATTTGCTTCTCAGTATTTATTGGAACCTGTAACTATTGTCAACTTCTCACTAGAAAATAAAGTGAGACTTAAACCCCTTAAACTCCAGGGGAGATAGGAACCTGACCTTAGTTCCACTATATCCCTTGCACACAATTCTGATGGAGTTATGGCTCTAAAATGCCCATCCACCCAAGTTTTTTTTTTTTTTTTTTTCATTTAAAAAGTGTGAAAGTTTAAAGGTAAGCTGGGGAGCTTTACTAAATAGAGGGAAGTGAATTTTTTTATTACTGGAGTTTAGTTTCAATTAAGGAGATAAATGAGCTTGAACACATCCCTTCCACGTTTCATTTAGTTCCAGTGTCAAATGAAGATAAGAAAGTATATTTCAAATACACTGTTGTGAAATATTACCTTGAAAATTTGCTTTCTAGGAACCATCTTACAAAGTCAATCCTGAACTGTGCTCAAAATTACAAACTACATCATTACACAAACTCCCTGGTTTGATATTTAAGAAAATATAACCTACTCCTGAAGTACAAACATATTAACAAAGTGGTCATCTAACACCTGCGTTCCCTCCCTTACTTAACAAGGGCTCATGGAATCGGTCCTTAAAACACAGAGGTCATGTTTTCCTTTATAACTCTCACCTTGGACACCACCAGACCAGACCTTGTTTTGAAAAGTACAAGGAATCTCCCACCAGGTAGGTGTCACCCACAACCTTAGTCCATTCATGACAAATTTAACATGTGATCACACAGAGCAACCAAGAACTGAATGCCAATTCATTAATTAGTATTATGTATTTGCAAATATCCCCTTTAAAGACTCCTTAAAGCAACAAAATACTAAGCATTACTTTCTTTCTTTACTACCTCTATTGGCAAGAACATAAGTCAATGGCAAGATCAATTCAAAACAAAAGGGGAGGAAAAAAGCAGGCCCAAAACACAAGCAAACTGTATTCCTCTTTTGCAGCCTGTGTCAATTACACTAGATTCAAGTCCAAAATTCAGAAAACTTACTTTTCAAGACTCTATAAACCATGTTCAGTTTTCAAACCAGTATTTGGGGCGTCTCTGCTATATAAATCATTATCTGAGTTTTATAAGGTTGTGAGCCCTGAAGAGTTATACATTGTTCTTTGGATCATTTCCTCATTGCACAAAAATGAATTGAACCAAATCAAATTTCTGTGCTCTCTGACATCAACTTACACTCCATGAAATAATCTGTAAATCCACAAGAGAATGGAATAGTATGCTCTTAATTAGCTAAAAATGGTTGACATGAAGTGGACAAATTCCAACTCCACATATGCAAGAAAAACTTATTTACAAACTAACCTTCCAATGCTCAGTATGTTCCTCATCATCTTAAAAGCACTTGTTGAGCAGGTTCTATATGCCAAGATGGGGGTCTAGCTGCTAGAGAAATGGTCAGCGAAAAGGCTCGTCCTCATGGAGCTTACATTCTGGTACATGTAGTCAGTGATCAATGCAAACACCCCTCCCCCAGTCAGAAAGAGTTGTATGATGAGTGCTAGGAACAGGGGCACTGTGAATTAATCAGAGTTCTCCAAGTAACGGAGCAAGAGTGAATGAAAGAAAACCATTGGAAGGCTTTGCATTATCAAATGGAAGTATAATGTAAGCTATGGCATTTAAAATTGTCTAGTTGCCACATTAAATAGCTCACTAGCAAACATTTTAATTCAATGTACTCAAAATACTATCATTTGCAACATGTAACCAACATTTTAAAAACTGAGACACTTTCTACTGAGCCTTCAAAATCTGGTATATACTTTACACTTTATAGCACCTCTCAATTTGGACAAGCCTCATTTTAAGTGGTAAACAGTCACATGTGGCTTGTGGCTACTGTGCTAAGACACCATAGATTTAGGTGGGGAACATAACATATGCATGGATTCTTAACTGAATTACAAAGCATCATCAAAGATGATTTCGAGGTTTTGCTCTCAAACGGGATGCAGAATGGTGCTACTTACTGAGTAAGGGCACCAGAGAAAATGATTTCTTCAAGTAGAACCAAAAGTCCCCTTGCAAATCAAATGTTTGAGATGCCTATTTGCCATCTACTGGAAATCCTCCAGAAATACACCGCCAAGTGAGTTTATTAGAAAGTATGAGCATTCAATTAATCTTGACAGGAACCCTTAGACAAAAATTCTCAACTGAGCCCCTCACCCCTAAAAAAAAAAAGGAAAAAAAAAAAAGTCTGGCTATGCAAGTTAGATAAAATATTCTAGTGTTTTGATAGTCTAAAAAGGACTGGCTCAATAAGATACTTCAATGCCCTTTTCCACGGAGAAACCATGTTTCGGTCAAAATTCAGACTATTCCCAACTAAAGAGAAATTGTGAATAACCATTTTTTCCAAGTTCTTCCTGGATCAGATCTTTAAACTTACACCCCATCAGGTAAGGAGTGGAATTACATGTCACGGGTTACTAATGCTTTTTCCCTGTAGTGTAGTGGCCCCTACAGTTTTGGTCAATCCCAATCCCAATCTTGAGCCTAGTAACTCAGAAATACAAGAAAACTTTCATACTAAGTAATGCACTCAATTTATGAACATGGCAGGAAAGCAAAAAAGTTTTCTAAAGTTTTGATTAACCAAGTAACTCAATCTGATCAGACAATCTCCTATTAAGAACAACTTGGCGTACTAAGATGGTCTCACTATTTTTCTGGCATATGGGATGGCCCAGCACATGGTTGGAATGTGGTAAATATCCCATCGATAAACTCTCTGAGGCCCCTACAAGGAATACAGGCTATCTTGAAAATAGGTACAGTAAAATGCTCAAGGTTAAAGCTAGGTGGTGAGCCCATGGGTACCGGGTATGCAAAGTCAGTTTTTTCACTTTGCTCTATGAAGTTTTCATAATTAAGTGCTGAAAATATGTTTTAAAAACTAAAATATAGTTATAAATAGGAAAAAGTTAAAAAGATACACAGAGAATTTTGAAAACCAAGTTTAAGCATGTGTTTCTATTTTGTATAAGGCTTTGCTACATAAGATCTACAAAATGATCACCTTGGAGAATTCCCCTGTCACCTGCAGGGGCACTAGCGTTCAAATATGGAAGTCAACAGTGCAAAAATTCCTTAGCACTATTAATAAGAGGAATTTAACCAAAATTCACTAAAGAAGAGTATATTGAACATTGTGTCTGTATAAGGAACTAATGAAAATTTTGTTTTTTAAGGACAGTTTGCAATATGGATAAATTGTCAAAAGAATGATTTTCCACAGCTTTTACAGTACATATTCAGGGTAGAAAAACACTTCCAACAGGTCATTGTTATTAGATTAAGTTACTGAGGGACCAGTTTTTGTATTACCTGCAAAATTCACCTTTAAAGTTGTCTCTATATTGTTACAGACTCAATATCACAAAAGGAAACTTCTTTTGTCATAATGTTTGCATTAATCTCCCAGCATCTGTTCATTTCTACTTCCTCTTCTTCATGTCTATTTACTATTTTCTGAGTAAAATGCAAATATCCCTATAACACAGGAATGTTTATACTTGACTCAGTTAAATTTACTGCTATTAGTATAAAAAGATCAATTTTACAGGAAAACTACAATATTCTTAACTCAATTTTACTTTCAAATTGGTTAAAATACTGCTTTGACACTAGCAAATATGAAACTGATAAAAAAGAAACCTGACAAAAAATTTTACCAAGTTCATTCTTACTTTCTTACAAAAGTAAAATTATGTCTCCTCGGGAACAAACGAAGTGTTGTGACTATAATTCGATGCCTTCCTGGCATAAGCCTAGAATCATATATAATACTAATCAAACCATCCTAAGGATTTTCATGAAGAATCAATATACCAAAGGTATAATAAAGCTGATAATGCTAAGCATACGTACATATTCATCTACTAAAGAGAGTTGATTATGTATCATGCTCACCTAGTTTCTACAAGAAAAGAAGGTTTGGATTGTTTTTTAAAGAAGTTTTATTCAGTGGAAATGCACATGTCAGTTCCTCACCTGTCGTTCGCAATAGGCTTTCATTAGTTTACTAAGTGGTGTATGCCTCTTAATCTTAAACTGCACCACAGAACCATCCTGACCCGCCACCTTCAAATTAATATGATCGTTGTTCTCAGTCTTGACTCCTTCCTGTTGAAAGAAAAATAAAAGTATAATTTGGAAAATGTGAAAAACAAATTATCTTTTAAAGCAGCAGTAGCCCAAGTTGCTTCAGAAATCAACAGGTTTCCCCTTCCATGCGATACCAGAGAACAGGGCATTTCTGAACTGCTGAAATCAATGTGAAAGATGAGAAATCGGGAGCAACCACATCAGCTAGCTGTCAGAGAAACAGAAAGGCAGTCTCCATGCAGTGCCGTCAGTGGCAACAATCGATTTGGAAAGATGGGTCCTCCTCAATCTACTCCAGGGCTCTCCTTTGAATCTGAATTTTCTAAAACGGGGTTCTTTCGCATGACTCTCAAAACATACCTCCCCCTCCAAAGAGTAAAAGCGACCCTTCTCTCGTCAAAGTGTTGTAAAGTGCAAAGTATAAGAAAAACAACCGAGAGCTTGCAATTCAAAATTCACTCCAATTCTCTTGTTAAAAAGTTACCAAACGCAGCTTTGCAGAGACCCGAGCAATCTGCTCTGCGTCTCCCCGAGGCCGCGGTCCTAACTGGGCACCCCGGCCGCCGTTCGCCCCTCTCGGCCGCTTCGGGCGTGTTTGTGCGAGTGAGGTGCCCGCTCCCCCCTCCCCTTTGTTGTCATGGGTCAAACGCACTTTTTTTCCTGGTCGATTTCTCCCAATCTTACATTCATCACAGCCAAAGACGACGAGTTCCGCAGCCCGCTAAATCACTTCAAAAAAAGGAAGGGCGGGGGAGTCGCAAAACGAACCCCAAGCCCGGGCGCCCCGGGCCGCACGGGGAAGAGCTCCCGGTTCCTCAAAACCCGCGTTAAAAAGTTCGGGCCCGCCGAGCACCCCGCTCCTGCGCCTCCAACTTCCCGACTCCACATGGCCTCCGCGGGAAGGGGTGCCCGGCACCCGGGCCGAGCCCCTGCCCATCCCCCCGCGGGGTCCCGGGGCCGCTCCGGCCGGACGGGCTCCCCGGGAATCCCCGAGCCCCGGCCTCTCGCCGGCCCGACGGGCATCCGGCCCCCCGGCAGCCCATTGATTCGCCCCGAGCCTGGCTCGGCCGGCGCGGCCGCGGTCGGGGCGCCCAGATGCCCGCGGCCCCCACCGGGGAGCCCCGGGCGCAGGGTCCTCCCCGCCGCGGCGGAGGGCGGGACCCGCGCGCCCTAACGCCCTCCTCACGCGCGCCCGGCCGGCCGGGCCCGAGGAGCCCCGCTCGCGGCCGGTGGGCCCGCGGGCGCCCGCGATCCGCCCGCCCAACTCGCGCCCCGCGCGCACTCCGAGGCGGCCGGGGGCGGGGGAGGCGGCGGGGCCTCCTCGGCGCGGGCGGGAGGAAGGGGGAGGGAGGAAAATGGCGCGGAGCGCCGGGCCTGAGCCGCGGCCGGCCCCGTGGGGGGCCCGGGCGGGCGCGGGGAGCCCGCGGCGGGCTCCGGCCGGACCCCGGCCCGCGTCGTGACCCCGGCCGCACGGCGAGGCGGCCGGCGCCCGGCTCACCTTGGGCTTTTCGTCGGCCATGGCGAGCGCCGGAGTCTCCTCAGCTGCCGCTTCACAAAAGAGGTACCAGGTCCGCACCGAACGAGCACACAAGCAGCACCAGGAGCGGCAGAAGAAGGAGGCGGCAGCGGTGGAGGAGGGAGAGGGCGCGCGCACGTCGTGCGCTCCCTCCCCCCACCCTGCGTGCGCGAGCACGAGCCGGCGGGGCTTCCCATTGGCTGCCGCCTCGCGGGAGCGCGCAACGCTTACATAACCACCCCCATCCCCCGCCCCGCGCCGCCCCGACTGAGGCCCGGCGCCCGCCAGGCCGGCGGGAAGAGGCGCGGACACGCGCACCCGGCCCGCCGCGGGGGCGCGCCTGGCTCTGGGCGGGGCTGTATTGTCCTCCTTCGGTGGTGGAGCTAAATCAAAATGGCTTCCAGCTGGTCCTTGGTGGGGACGAGGAGGCTTGAGGCCTAGACGTGACACACAGGCCGGGGAAGGCAGACTGAGTAGACGAGGAAGGGGGAGCCTAAATCAAAGCCCCAGACTGAGGTTCTGGGAAAAAATCCTCTTGTTTAGTGCCCCAAATGCAGCTTTCCTCACGGTTAGAGGAACATCACACTTCCTCTCAATCGGCCTCTCAGCCTTTGAATTTTTAAAAGCTTCAGCCTCAACCCGCTTCCCACCCGGCTCTTTCCTCAGTTCGGTGACTACTTACACCCTACTGGTCACCCTGTTCTTGCACTGTGGAAAAATGTTCATCCCCTGAACTCCTCGCTCAACCTCCAAGAAGAAACATTCCATCCGAGAGAAGTACCCAATATTAGCTTCCAAACCAATTATTTCCTCCTTCCATGCGGTTAAAAACGAATGGAAGTCGATTCTTCCTGTCTTATGGAGCAATGGTAACATCTGGGCAGAGGACTCCCCCTGCTCCTGTCTGTAGTCTTTATTGATTGTTTTCTTTGTCCCTGTGTTTCCTTCCACTTCTCCGTTAGCGTAGAAAAAGACTCTATTTCCTTCTTAAGTTGCCACCATCTCTCTCCATTCTTGGCCAAACATCTTGAAAAAACGTCCATGCCAGCTGTCTCCACTCCCTCACCTCCCACTCACTCCTCAATCCACCACAATCTGGTGTGTGCCCGTATTGCCACTAAAACTGCTCTTACAAGGTCAGGGCAGACCTCTTCTCTGAGCCGGGTAGGCTTCCCAGTTTGCCACTCCCCGGGAAGCCCAGTCACTTTGGACTGTGACTCTGGCCAGTCTTTGATCCCTTGCAATTTTTTCCCCCTCAACCCTTCCTTTCTATAGTCCCTGGGTTTTGGTCTAGACTCCTTTCCCTGAGGATCTTTCTATTCCCTCTCCTGGGATGATTTCACCCACTTCTGTTACCATCTATTTGCTATTCTCAAATATCTATTTCTAGTCCACTTCTTCCTCTGAGTTTCCAACCCATAAATAAAGCCGACTTCTGAACCCCTCCACTAGGATGTCCCAGAGGCTTTAGATGTAAAACAGAGCAAGGAAGGTGGACTGATCCAGAGAGGCAGGCAAGCCTGAAGCTCAAACCAGCTCTCTCCAGAGCTACTGCCAGAGCCTCCTAACTGGTCCTTTTGTTTTAAGGTGAATCACACTAGCCTGAATATTTAACTGATTCAGAATCCCCTAGGGTGCTGGTTTAAATGTGTGTCTTGGGCAGTGTGCCACTGGGATCCCCTTTAAACAAACTTCCCTGGTGATTCGTAAGCACATTCAAGTCTGGGAGCCACAAACCCTTCTAAAATAAAAAGTTTCAGCCACTCCTTGGTTCTGTGGCAATCTTCTGCCTTACAGGATAAAGTCCAAAATTCTTATAAGACCTACAAAGCCCTTTGGGATCTAATCCAGATGAACCATTCTAAACTCATTTCTTCCTGGAAGCCTCTGTTTCTCTTATATTCCTTTACTTGGAGTTCTTGAATCTGCCAGCTCTCTCAGCTCTAAGTTTCTGTCCATTGTAGTTTCTCAAGGAATCACTGGATAAGTGAATAAATTGAAACTATCACTATATGTAAGGTCCTGTGCTAGGCTTTGGGCAAAGAAAGACAAATAACCTTGACTCAAATGATGTATAAAGTGGGAGGGGAGGCAGGTAGGAAATACACAAGAAGTGGAAGGGCAAGAGACGTTACTGCCATGTGGCAGGCACTGAATGGGACTTTCCTAATATTAGCATATTTCTCCTCATACAAACCCTTCCAACAGGGTGTAGTATGTATTTGCTACTGAGACTCAAAGGAGTTAAGTAGCTTGCCCAATACCAGCTGGCAAGGACTGTGGATCAAGCGCCTGCTGTATCAGGGATTGAACATGCTGGGTGCTGTGCCAGCTATGATGGAGAAAGAAAAAGAGATGCTATCCTTACTCTGCTGAACCAAGTCTCCTTTTGTTATATACCTTCCCATTCTTGTAGGATCACGGAGCCATCAAAGAGGAATATGTTATGTAAAATTTGCATCCTAAATATGTAGGGTCTCAACAACCAATAGTTAATTATCTCTGCTAGCAACTGGTGACAGGTGTAGACTATAATAATATTCCCCTCCCTCTCCAAAGTCCTATGAAATCACCAAAACACCTTCAAGGCATAGGAGGAGTGGCTGTGAAAACAGCCAAACAGACTTAAATGTGTGAGCAATATAGAGTCCAACAGCAAACTGCTGTTCTGTGAGCAGAGGCTAGAGAATCAACTCAAATTGGTTTTTTTGGTTTTTTTTTTTTAAAGATTGATTTATTTATACAAAAACTAGGATATAGGCCAGAGGCGCGGGAGGGTGAGAGAATTCACCAGAAACAGAGCGAGGAGCAGAACAGGCAGACAGACCGAAGACACTGCTGAGGGGAGCAGCAGGTGAGGCAGGAGAGGTCTGCCACACCATGTGGATCTCTCCCTGGCCAGTGGGGAATTGAACAGGTGCTGCGGAGGCTGTGGACAGTTTCATAGCGCAGAGCTCAACCTGCTGTGCTGCCAGGGAGGCCCTGGTTTTTTTTTTTAATTATTTATTGGGCCTTCCTGGTGGTGCAAGGGGTTGAGCACAGCACTGTGAAGCAGTCCATAGCCCCTGCAGCATAAATTCAATCCCTGGCCAGCCAGGGAGCTACCCACATGTCACAGCAGACCTCTCCAGTCTCACCTGCTGCTCCCCTCAGCAGTGTATTTCAGTAGATCCACCTATTCTGTTCCCCACTCTGCCTCTGGTGAATCCGCTCACCCCCCCCCCACACCTCTAGCCTGTACCCCAGTTCCTGTATGCATAAAAAAATAAATCATTAAATTAAAACAAAATATTTATGCACACAAGAATTGGGGTATAGGCCAGAGGTGAGGGAGTGAGAGGATTCACCAGAGACAGAGTGGGGAATGGAACAGGCAGACTGACTGAAATACACTGCTGTGGGGAGCAGCGGGTGAGAGAGGAAAGGTCTGCTGCGCCCTGTGTATCACCTCCCTGGCCTGGGATTGAACTCATGCTGCAGTGGCTGCCAATAACTTTTTTTTTTTTTAAAGATTTATTTTTTTTATTTCTTATTTATTTTTATTTATTTTTTTTTTAATAGAGGCATGTTTATTTATTTATTTATCTGTTTGTTTGTTTTTGTTTATACATGCACTGGGTACAGTCAGAAGCGCGGGAGGGTGAGAGAATTCACCAGAGCCAGAGCGGGGAGCAGAGCAGGCAGAAGGACCGAAGTACACTGCTGAGGGGAGCAGCGGGCGGCAGGAGAGGTCTGCGCGCCATGCGGGACCCTCCTCCGGTGGCCAGGGAGCAGCCGGGGATCGAACCGGCGCCGCAGAGGCCGCGGGCAGGTTCACAACCCAGCGCTCAACCGCTGTGCCACCGGGGAGGCCCTCTTATTTATTTTTTATATAAGCACTGGGTACAGTCAGAAGCGCGGGAGGGTGAGAGAATTCACCAGAGCCAGAGCAGGGAGCAGAGCAGGCAGAAGGACCTAAGTACAGTGCTGAGGGGAGCAGCGGGCGGCAGGAGAGGTCTGCGCACCATGTGGGACCCTCCTCCGGTGGCTGGGGAGCAGCTGGGGATTGAACCGGCGCTGCAGAGGCTGAGGGCAGCTTCGCAACCCAGCGCTCTACCGCTTGCCAATAACTTGACAGCAATGTGTCTTTAACGTTGGTGCCACCAGAGAGGCCTGAGAATCTACTCAAATTGTACACTGAGTCTCTTTGCAGTTTCCAGAGGAAAAATATACAAAGATTAAAATTTTCAAACATTAAGTTTCTCCTTCCATAATTTTTCTGGGGGCTTTCAAGTGGGTGTGCACTGGGAAAGGGTGCTATGGAAAAAGAAAGGGCAAGAAGTTTATACAGGGCCTCCCCTGGTGGCGCATCGGTTGAGCGCTGGGCTATGAAGCTGCACACAGCCTCTGCAGCACCAGTTTGATCCCCAGCCGCAGGCAAGGGTCCCACATGGCACGACAGACCTCTCCTGCCGCGTCCGCTGCTCCCCTCAGCAGTGTATTTCATCAGTCTGCCTGCTCTGCTCCCCACTCTGGCTCTGGTGAATTCTCTCACCCTCCTGCGCTTCTGACTGTACCCAGTGCTTGTATAAATAAATAAATAAATCTTAAAAAAAAAAAAGTTAAAAAAAAGTTTATAGAGAAGAGAGGCAGATGTTAATTGAATGATTATTATGTGGGGATTCTGTGATAAATCCTTAATCCTCACAGTCTCTCTTATTATCGTCCTCATTTTACAGATGAAGAAAGTGAGATAGAGAGAGGTTGGGCAGCTGGTCACCCAGCTTAAATGGCAGAGCCCGTGTCATATCAAACTCGGGCTTTCTGACTCAGAGCCCAGCTCTTCTTATCTTAGCACTGCATAGAGGCCCCTGTGGAAGGTTGTAGAGAGAAAAGACAGGCAGGAAAAAATCCTAGAAAAATCCTGCCTGATGCCTGCAGCACAAGTCAAGTTTTTTTGTTTTATTTTTTATTTTTTTAAGATTTATTGATTTATTTATTTATACAAGCACTGGGTACAGTCAGAAGCGCGGGAGGATGAGAGCAGAGAACAGAACAGGTAGAATGATGAAGTACAGGGCCTCCCCGGTGGCGCAGCGGTTGAGCGCTGGGTTGCGAAGCTGCCCGTGACCTCTGCGGCGCCGGTTCGATCCCCGGCTGCTCCCCGGCCAC